CAGTTCCAGGGGCACATGGAAGAGGAGGAGGCTGGGGAAAGGGAGGGGGGCACCAACAAACCCAGGGACAAGGGAACAACAAGACATCTAAAATCGATGGCGAGGAGGGCGTAGAATGCCTGGTGGGGTTCGATCAAGTGCAATATAGCAGAGGAATTACTGAGAGCCAAATGAAGGTCAAACATGACAGTGGGGCAGGAGGAAAGTAAAAGAAAATAGAGCAAAGAACTAGGAGGCAAAAGACATTTATAGAGGTATAAATATAGGTATGTATATATGTAAATAAATTAATATATAAGGATATGGATATAGGTCTATTTATAGTCATATATTCATATATTAAGTATTAAGCAGACAAACATTGGACCTCTAATCAAGTCCTCCCTCAATGCAAGAATACTTTATGCTAATAGCCAGGCATTCTATGAAGCTCACATTCCAAACATGATCGCTAGAGACAAAATGGGTGCATAAGCAACTGTGGTGAAGAATGCTGATGGTGCCTGGGTATCAAAAGATATAGCATATGGGGTCTTAAAGGCTTGCCGTTAAGCAGCAATCTAGAGAGATCAACAAAGCCCACATGGAAGAAGCACACAAGCTTATGTGATCATGAGGTGTTGAGGGAAAAGGTATTAAAAGTTCAAAAACAAGCAACCAAATCAGTGTGAAGGGGCGTGGATGAAGTGGAGACCCAGAACTCAACTGTAAGATAATTGGACAGTCCCTCCCATAAAGGCCATACAGAAGGGATGATAAATCCAGGGTGCAGTATAGCACTGAAGAACCACATAACTTCCTCTAGTTCTTTCATATTTCCTCCCCTTACTATTAAGATTTTTGTTTTATCATTCATCATATCAGATTTGCATAGATTCCTTTGTATATTTAAGATCATTCAATATATGAAAGCCAAGATAGATAACCCTTCAGAAACAGTAACAGGAGTAATGGTTCCCTGAGGGTATGGGAAGAGAGGGAGGAAAGGAGGAATTAGGGAGCAGAGAACATTGATGACTCTATAACACCATTGAATGGGATCGAACCACAGAATTGTATGTGAATGGATATATTGGATGTGTAGGCTATCGATAAGTAAGGGTTCCTGGGGCGTATAGAAAGGAGGGAGGGGATAAAATGGAACAGATATCAAGGAGTTCAAGAAGAAAGAAAATGTTTTAAAACGGATAATGGTAGCAGTTATGTACCAATACCTGATATGACTGAACTATGGAATGTTATGATATCAGTAAGAGCTCCCCCAAGAAAATCATTTTTTTAAATAAAACTTCCATCTTTAGACTCATATAGCTTTTCATTTTCCATTTCTAAAGCCATATCTTTCTCTCAAGGATCAGCTGGTGGTTTTGAACTACTGACCTTGAATATCACAGCCCAATTCATAACCTCTACACTACCAGGGGTCCTTGCCCAGAACTTCCACCTTTAGAAGATGGAAAAACAACAACAAATTACACCCCGTAAGCAGAAGGAAGAAATTAATAAAAACAAACACCAAAGGAAACAAGAAACTCTTGAAACCCAAAGTTTGCTCAAAGTTCACCAGAACAAACATAAATTTCTAATAAAAAATGAAAGAGGGGCATCACTACAGACCTTAAAGAAATGGGTAAAAATGAGTATTAACAGTAATATAAGACCACTAGCCCTCGCTGTACACAAATGTAATAATCTGCCATTGATATATAATTATTTGTATGATAATAACAAGCACGACACCAAGTTGCTTGCTACTCAAGAGACAGGGTCCATAGGCATCGCCTGGACAATGTGGGTGGTTGGGAGACCTGCAGCCTACGCCTAGAATGTCGTACAGGAGAAAATACGCTTCAAGAAGTCCCTTATCCACTTCAAACTAAAAAAATCATCTCCAACATAGCGTTAAGAGAAGGAAATCTTAATTCTTTGAGAGTTGAAACAGACTTTCATCGAATATCTCTACAGCAGCGGCTCTCAACCTGTGGGTTGCGACCCTTTGGGGGTCAAAAGATCCTTTCACAGGGGTCGCCCAATTCATAACAGTAGCAAAATTACAGTGATGAAGTAGCAATGAAAATAATTGTATGGTTCGAGGGTCACCACAGCATGAGGAACGTCATTAGGAAGGTTGAGAACCACTGCCCTACAGTAATAAGGACAAAGAAAAATATCTGAAGAAAGCAGTAACAGACAACTCTGGGTGTCAAATGTCTACATTTTGTTCACTCACACTTTATAAAGCTTCTACCATTGCTCTTTTCAATAATATCTAAAGATAGAAAAGAGGGTAAGTGAGGCTCCTGAATCGCAGTTCTAAAACGAAATGTTTCACAGAAAAGGGTGGGGATGCTTCCAATGGCTTATGGTTTCCAACCTTTTCAAGTCAAGGTGAGCACAGAAAATCACATTTCAATGACACCCAAGGGGTGATAAACTGAAGAGGCTGCTAAAAGCTAATGGTAACCTGCCTGCACTCAGGTCTTGAAGGGCTTGCCCAGCCACTAAAGGGCTGATAGGATCTCAACATCCCATTCTAGGCAACCTGCTGCTTAGCAACTGTGAAGCTCTACTTCACAGTAGCTTATAACCAGAAACATGAGAAGAATCTCGAGTAACACAGCTCAAAAAACGTGTAAGTTCTGTGCTATAATTAGGTCCTTATTCAAGCTAGGAACGGAGGACTGAATTACTATTTATGGCCAGGAAGCAGAGCCAAAACACGCTGCAATTCACATTTATAACACTCTCAAATGGCAGATCTTTTATACAACAATAATTGAAAAATATAAAAGTAGAACCAAATAGCTCCTATTTCAGTTTGCAGACTGTGCAATATGTAGCCCCAAAATGCATTAGCCACAACCTGGCTCCTTTACTCCAGGCATACACATGAAATATCATTTGGCATATGGGACTTATTCACATCAAGAGGAGTCAGATAATAAGCAAATGATCATTACTTCCCATTACATGGAATGGGAAGAAGCCATTAATACGGCATTAAGATCATAAATTCATACATTCAGAAGCCAACAAATAAAACATTAGTTCTCACAGCATTATTATCTCATCCATTCTGCCACATTAACTGTACACATTAAAAACTCTAGTAATTTTATAATCTGTTTGAAATATAGATGGTTAAGATTCCCATTTTCATACAAAGTTGCACATTTCTCAGTTTACTTACTAGCTAAGAGCAGGTGTCTAACTCCAAATCTCAAAAGAACCCTATCTGTCTGCATCACCCCAACATTCTAAGTGTGCTCCTTAAAAGGCTCGGGTTCCCTCAGCTTTCACTCCAGAAAAAAGCAGCATGAAGAAAAAGCCAGTTAAATGCCCACACACCCCACTTCCTTCTTGATTCTTACCCAGTATTTAAGCTGGCTCTGCTCTATTCCAATAAGCACTGGTAAGAAAACTTCAGAAATACCAAAATCTCAAGCTTTTAGCTATTTCACACTTAAACAAAACTCCCCTTTCTAATATTCTCAAGAAGATACTAAGCAAATGCGGTGAAGAAAGCTGATGGTGCCTGGCTATCAAAAGACACAGCGTCTGGGGTCTTAAAGGCTTGCAGGTAAACAAGCGGCCATCTGGCTCAGAAGCAACAACACCCACATGGAAGAAGCACACCAGCCTGTGTGATCACGAGGTGTCAAAGGGATCAGGTATCGGGCATCATCAGAACAAAAAATCCTATCATAGTGAATGAGGTGGGGAGCGTGGAGTGGAGACCCAAAGCCCATTTGTAGGCCACTGGACATCCCCTTTCAGAAAGGTCTCAGGGAGGAAACGAGCCAGTCAGGGTACAATGTAGCAACGATGAAACATAAACTTTCCTCTAGTCCCTAAATGCTTCCTCCTCCACTATCATGATCCCAATTCTACCTTACAAATCTGGCTAGACCAGAGGATGTACACTGGAACAGATAGGAACTGAAACACAGGGAATCCAGGTTGGATGATCCCTTCAGGACCAGTGGTGTGAGTGGCAATACTAGGAGCGTGGAGGGAGGGTGGGTTGGAAAGGGGGAACCTATTACAAGGATCTGATGTGACCTCCTCCCTGGGGACAGACAACAGAAAAGTGGGTGAAGGGAGACCTCAGACAGGGCAAGATATGACAAAATAATAATTTATAAACTATCAAGGGTTCATGAGAGAGGGGGGAACCGGGAGGGATGGGGAAAAATGAGGAGCTGATGCCAGGGGCTTAGGTGGAGAGCAAATGTTTTGAGAATGATGTAGGCAATGAATATACAAGTGTGATTTACACAACTGATGTATGTATGGATTGTGATAAGAGTTGTATGAGCCCCTAATAAAACGTTTAAAAAAAAAAGATACTAAGCAAGCAGAGAAGGGGCATCTTATCTACTCTTATTCTTCCCATAATGGTATACAGGCACATATGCGTGTACATTAAAAATAAAATGCATTAACATAGTGACAATTAGTCAACTATTTACACACATATCACACTGTACCATTCCAACCAAATACACTGCCATACAAGTCCATTTCTACTCATAGCAACGCTATGTCGAGTTTCTGAGGTGGCAAATCATGGAGGCAGCAGATGGTCTCATCTTTCTCCCTTGCATTACAACATTACATACATATATACATATACATATATACATATACATCTATAGCCATCAAGGCAATGCTGACTCCGTGACCCCCCTGTGGGTTTCCTAGACTGTAACTGTTTATGGAAGTGGAAAACCCAGTCTTTCTCCCGAGGAGCTGCCGGTGGTTTCGAACTGCCAACGATGTGGATCGAAGTCCAACTGTTAACCACTACACCACCAGGGCTCCTGGTAAGCAACATATTAGAGAAACCAATGAAACCAGTTAAGAATTTTAACTTAGCTGAATACTCATATTGGTCCTTGCTTATAATTAGTTAATACCTATTATGACTCTTAAAAAATATTATAGTGATTATAGCTTTGAAATTTAATTTTTAAGAATATTTTAGAAAAAACTCTTACCTTGACATTTCCCAATAATTGACGTAAAATCATCCTTTGCAGACCTGCAAAAGATACACAAAATTAAAAGAACTACACCGTAGCAACACTCAAAGAATGTGCAGGATAGTGTTGTTGTTTGGCTGTTGAAATGGTCCCAACTCAATGCAGCCCTCCGTACAAATGAAAAACGGGCTAGTCAGGTATCATGTCCACAATGGCTATGTCTGAGCACACTGGTGGGCCCTCCTTTTCACTGCTCTCCTTGATGCAACACGATGTCCTTCTCCGGGGCCTGATCCTGCCTGAACACACGTCCAAAGTCTGTGAGATGAAGTCTCGCCAACTCTTCTAAGGAGCATTCTGACTGTACTTCTTCCAAGACAGATCAGTTCACTCTTCAGCACCAACACCAACACCGTGATTTCAGTGCCTCGATTCTTCCTTCCTGTCTTCCTGAATCACTACCTAGCTTTCGCATGCGTATTTGGTGCTTGGAAACACCATGATGCCTTCGGTCAGGCACATCTTATTCCTCAAAGTGTCGTCTTAGAGCGGTCTTTTGTAGCAGATATTTGCCCAATACAATATGCCCTTTAATTTCTTGACAACTGCTTCCATGGGTATGGATTTGGACCCAAATAAAATGAAATCCTTGGCAATGTAATCATAGCCTTTTCATAAAATATAAATGGCCAGTCCCCAGTTCAAAAGGCTCTGATTCAGTACATCTGGAATGGAGACCGCCATGGATAGGAAATTGTGTGTGTCCCAAAAAAAAATGTATCTTGAAGGTGTAATCCTTCAAACTGCAGAGGTGGTCCTGCTTGAAAACAGAGTTTTCCTAACGTTATATTAATAAGGTCACACCGGTGTTTACTGCATTCTAAACTACACTACTCTGAGTAACAAAAGGGGCAGAATGGACAAAGATGTATTCACAGGAACATTAAAGATCTCTAGTACACATTGAAAGCTTGGAGAGAGGTACCCAGAATTAATTTCCATCACTAAGACTCTAACTTGGTCTGGTTTGTCTGCCAACGTCGGGGAAAGATGAATCTCCACTCTTTGAAGCCACCACCTGGTAGTACTGTTACCACAGCCTGAGAAACACGGGCGGGCCCAAGAAGAAGCTCCGTGGCTCTTAACTAAGGATCACTGGCCTCCATCTCATGTTATAAAATTTTCATCATCTAGTAAAAATATAACCTTATTTAAATAAATCCATACACATTCGTAGGTAACCAAATTTATTACCAGGAAGCCTTGGTGGTACAGCCAACTGCTGGATGTCCAATATGCCAGCAGCAGAGACCAACACTAAGTCCAAAATATGGGACCATCCTTCAAGGACATTAACCACCAACTTGGCAGGTTCATGACGTAACATCAGTTCCATCATGGAAATGGAAGGGTTTTGTCCTCCGTGGAATGGACACTACGGCTTCAGATGTGCCTTCCCTGCACGCAAAGCTTCTGCCATTCATGGACTTAGAGAACTCCTTACCCACCAGGACGGTGTCCTACGCAGCATCACCTCAGATCAAGGGACTTCACCTCACAGCTAACGAAGTGTGGCCCGTGCTCATGGAATCCACTGGTCTTACCATGTTTCCCATCATCCTGAAGCAGCTGGCTTGAGAGAACAATGAAGTGGACACAATTACAGCTCCAGCTCAAAGGGATAAACTTTCAGGATAAGGAAAATGTTCTCCAGGAAGCTACAGGTGCTCTAAACTAGCCATCGATCTATGATATGAAATGGCACCAAGAAGTGGCACCTCTCATCATTATTAATCTCAGTGAGCCATTCACAACTCTCTTGCTTCCAGCCCCTATATTGTTCAGGTCTGGAGCTCATAGTTCCAAAGGGAGGAATACTCCCACCTAGAGACACAGCACTGATTCAACTGAACTCGCAGTTAAGCATGCCCCCTGACCACTACCGGCGCCTCACTGCTCTGGATCAGCAGGCAAAGAAGGGTGTGACTGTATTGAGTGCTAAGACTGATCCAGATTACTGTGGAAAAAATGGATTAGTATTACATAATGGAGCTAAAGAAGAGTATGTCTGGAATCCAGGGGATTCCTTAAGCCAGCTCTCAGTACTACCATGTCTGAGGATTAAAGTAAATGGTAAACCACAGCACCCAAATTCTGACTTGACTACTACTGGCCTCTTCAGGAATGAAGGTTTGAGCAAAGAATGACAAGTGGCTGAGGTACTTGCTGAAGGAAAAGGGAATAAGGAGTGGGTAATGGAAGGAAGTAATTCTAAATACCAGTGACAGAAACGTGACCAGTTGCAGAACTGAGGACTATAATAGTTATATTTCCTCTTTCTATGTATGCATCAAATATTTGTTTTGTTCATTTACACAACGTAAGATGTAAATAGGGTTAGTTTAGTTGTACTCAGGAAAGTTTGATCAAGTTAGGTGCAAGTATAACTTCATTAATGTCCTTGGTTAGAAATTATGTACAATTAAAAGAGATGTGCACAGGTGCCAAATTGACATGGGTAGACTGTGATCGTTAAGTTTTATGTCAACTTGGCTAGACCATAATTCTCATGATGTGATCTCACATAATGTAATCAACTCCCGGGTGGCCTCCTCTGTGAGCTGTCACGCAGTTATTGGAATAAGGTGGAAGGCTACCCACTTCATCTGATCACAGTTTTCATCTAATGGAAAGGAAGCGCTGAGGGTGTGACCCTGTAGGGAAGCTGGCTCACTTCTTTATGCTGGTCTAGATTCTGCATCGACTGGGTCATCGACGCCTCACCCCTGGGAGCCACCAGTGGCCTGCTGACTTTGGGTTCATCCAACTCTACAGCCTGGAGCCTGACTTGCTGACCTAGGGTTCACCTGCCTCTCCCTCCACCAACCTGTGGCTCCTGCTTCCCAGCTTGTTGGCCCCGGCAGCTACTAGAAGGAAAAACCTCTACCTTAACATCTGACCCACAAATTTGAACACAACTGAACTTAACAAAATCTACAATTGTGTAAGCCACTCTCCGGATATAAAATTGTGCATGTGTGTATGTGTCTGTGTTTCTGACTGGCTTTGCTTTTCTAGGGAACTCAGCCTAACATGAGCAAAATATTTAATACAAGTTCTTTTTTCTTGTCTTGTCTTTTTTTTCCCCAATAAACTGGACAGGTCATAAAAATCTCAAAGTTTAATAAAAGGATTAAATGAGATATGTTCAAATCAACTCAATGGCAATGAGTTTGAGTTTTTGAGATCTCAGTAAATGTCCATTACTTGTATGCTTAATATGCCTACCTAATAATAGCTGGAAAACAGAAAGGAGGGAAATACAAATTTGGTTTTACCCAACTTGACAGAACTTACTTACTTAGAAAAATTAAGCAAACTTGGGTAGAAATTTGTATATGCCATTTTATAAAGTCTTTCCGTTGGATTCTCTGATAGTTTCTAGTTAATTCCTAAGTTTATAATAAACTTTAATGATAAGAAAGTAGTACTTCACTACTTAGGAAAGAAAGAACATATATTAGCCACTTATACTCCATAGCCAGGTTCTGTTGCTGGGCCACAAATTAAAGCAGCAATTCACAATAAGTCATTGTTTATCTACGGGCAAACTCAAGTTAAGTAATGTACTGTGTATTAGGTTACATAATTAGTGTCATTTCCATCTATTATAAAAGTAAAACGAGAAAACAGCAGCCCTGGTGCTGGCTTGCAAAAGGCAAAGGCATCTCTAAAAATTAAATTATGTCTCGATTTTCCATTTTCACTTCTCAAAAACATTTATCTATAACTTTGTTTATGACCTCAGATAACCTCAGAGATGACATTTCAGTTTCAATCCAATCCATAAACACTTAGCTGCTTAAGTAATGCCTACTGGTGTCTTTTGCAGATGACAGGGCAATTCCCTCCTGTCCTGCAGGTGACTGGGCAACAGAAAGTCAGACCCAGTGGACAAAAAAAGGGTCTGGGAGGGACGGTTGGTCCAGAAGCTTGGCGGACAGAGGCCTGTCTGACGTCTGCCGTGGGCACCCTAGGGCAGATGTGGGGTTGGCTTCCCTTGCCCCTTCGTGTGGCCAGAACCAGATGCGGCCCTCACACCATTCTTCAAGCATTCGACTCCTTAAGAACTCTCCACACGTGATCACACTATCAACAGCAACGGGAACAATTAGGAAAACAACTAGGCAGGGGTTCTGGAAGAGGAGGATGAGGAAGGCCACACGGGGTGGGGGAGTGGGGGGGGGTATTCAGCATCATTAATGGGACGCTGTTGAAATGGTCTGTGTTGTGCTGTGTCTGCTCTCAAGAACCAAATAAATATGACTATATGGTAAAAATCCATTTACAGGGTCTATAAAACCTTGGTCAAATTCTATATCCTAGGCTTGATTTCAATCTCCATTCCCACATGCACCCCCGGCCTTTAACAGCTAAAATCACTCGATTAATATTCTTCTTTCATTAGAAAATATGGGATTAAGTTTTTACTATTAGCTACCACTTATGTCATACCAAAAGCACATTTCCAAAAAGTACATTTCACATAACTACAGCAAGCCAAATATTGTTCTGGTGAACAGTAGAAGTTCAAAACTTAGCCAGTTGTTAATGATACTCTTTAAAAACAGTAGGACTTGCCTAGAACAGTATTGTCAAAATAAGTAACGTAGTTATAAATGGCTGTCATTACTGTCAAACATTTCTACCCTCAAAAGTTGTAAGGTGGATCAGAAAGCCTCCCCTTTGAAACTGGTGCCCAGACGTGATAAACTCTGTCTACTCCCCAGAAAGCTCAGTTCTTCTTGGATACAATAAGTTTCAAAAACAGCAGGCTAAAAGCAATGTGATAACAGCCAAATTTTCACTACTACTGTCGAAAATGGTACAAATTTTGTGGCTGTATGTAGGCATCCTAAAAATTGCCTCATAGTCCTTTTAAGAAACAAATATTAAGTATTACATGGAAAAAATTATTAACCCTCAATATTAGATCTTTAACTAAGTCCCTACATAGAATAATGGCCTCCACCCTTGGCCAGTAGCCAAAAGGCTGGCAGTTAAGATGTTCCTCAGAACAAAGGCCCAGCAACCTACACATGCACACACACACACACACACACACACACACACAATCCGCCACGAAAGCCCAGGGAGCATGGTTTGACTCTACATGCACACACGTATGCACAGCCATGAAAACCCAGGGAGCATGGCTGGACTCTACTTGCGCACACGCACACACACACACACACACACACACACACACACACACACACAATCCGCCATGAAAGCCCAGGGAGCATGGTTGGACTCTACATGCACATGCGCACACGCGCATACACGCGCGCACACAATCAGCCATGAAAACCCAGGGAGCATGGCTGGACTCTACTTGCGCACACGCACACACACACACAATCCGCCATGAAAGCCCAGGGAGCATGGTTGGACTCTACATGCGCACGCACGCGCACACACGCACACATCAGCCATGAAAGCCCAGGGAGCATGGTTGGACTCTACATACATGCGCACGCGCGCACACACACACACACACACACACACACACATCAGCCATGAAAGCTCAGGGAGCATGGTTGGACTCTACATGCGCACGCGCGCACGCGCGCACACACACACACACACACACACACACACATCAGCCATGGAAGCCCAGGGAGCATGGTTGGACTCTACGTGCACACACACACACACACACACACACACGAGCACACACGCACACACACATCAGCCATGGAAGCCCAGGGATCAGGGTTGGACTCTACATGCGCACACACACACACACACATAACATCAGCCATGGAAGCCCAGGGATCAGGGTTGGACTCTACATGCGCACACACGCACGCGCACACACGCACACAAGCACACGCACACACACACACACACACACATCAGCCATGGAAGCCCAGGGAGCAGGGTTGGACTCTACATGCACGCACACGCACACACGCACACACACACACATACATCAGCCATGGAAGCCCAGGGATCAGGGTTGGACTCTACATGCGCACACACGCACACGCACACACATCAGCCATGGAAGCCCAGGGA